GTATTCCATGCCAGTACAATCCCAAGCTAAGTACCCATAATATAACCAGTTGTTGTCCAGTGTCCCCAGGAGCCACCATTTCAAATGTATGTTCAAACCGCCCAACAAGCTCTTCTAGAAAGATCAATGCTTGGGCTGGGGATGTAGCTTAGTTGGTAGGGTGCCTGCCTGCCTACAATGCATGAAACCTTGGGTTTAATTCCCAGGGCCACATAAACTGGACACGGTGACACACATCTGTAATATTAGCACTTACAAGGTGGGGTAGGAGGATCAGAAATTTGAAGCCATTCTCCACTGCACAGGAATTTTTAGGCCAGCCTGAGATACATCAGGCCCTGGCTTGTTATCAGCATTTCCTAAGATGCAGCTGGTATCAAGAAGTACCCATGCTCTCTCGTCAGAATTGCCCCTGTAGCATGTAAACTAACCCGTCGTGCTTTTAAAGACATCAAACCGCATCTCATTAAACACAGGAAGCATCAGATCTTCACCATGTCACGTGAGGTGTCCCAGCTGTGAGCCTCTCTTTTCTCCAGCCTTCCCATCCACCCACCCATGCCCACTCTGGGCCTGGTGAACCGGCCTCAAGGAGTCTTCAGTCTTAATAGGCTGTCCTACATGTCTGCATTTTATGTCAGCCTAAAATGTTGCTCATCTTCCTCTCATCCTGGAAAAACATTAGTAATTTTTCCTAACTCGGTTACAAACCTCCCAGTGAGGCCATGCTCCCCCGATCCCAAGCACAGCTTACTTACTTCTCCCTCAGTGGAGCATCCTCCGACAACATCTGCCCCAACCATGTTCCACGTTTGTAGTGAGAGAGCCAGCCACACCTGTGGCACTGGCCACGCCCGTTTGGGTGTGGTCACAGGTGCATAGGTGAGCATGTGGTACTTGGTATGGGGTTAGGGACAGGCCTCCTCTCTTTGTTTCCAGTCAGGTCACAGAGAGCAGCCTGGGTGTGGATTCTTGGAGCAGGAACTTACCGGTCATTGGTTTCTCTTGGACTTCACCCAGAATAAAATATATAACCCATATGTTATCCTCGTCCCATGTATCTTAATCTGTACATCATTATACCTGTCTCCTGTTTTATCCAATATGTCTTTGACACTGGACTCAAAGCTCCTTGGTGACCTGGCACCCAGCGCTTCATTTTGTATACCAAAAAAAAAAAAAAAAAAAAAAAAAAAAGGATGGTACGAGAGTGATACCTTCCTTTGCCTTGGCCTCCTTAATACCTCTGCTTCTCAGTTCCTGACTAAGCAGAAGTGAGATGCCAGAAGCCACACAAAAAAGCCTAGTCACCTTGCTGAGGGCTCCTTCCCATGGCATCAAGGAATCCCCAGGGCACTGGTAAGTGAAAATGGCCAGGATGGTGACTATGGCATCGCTGAGGTATATGGGCCAGCACCAGAGTAAGGGCACATGGGACCAGAGCTACTCATCCAGACTCTTCAGTTCGCCACATGTCATCATCAGCGAATTCCATAGTAAAGGCCTGGCAGGTGGGTCTCCAACTTTCTGTCACATTTGTCTTTTTGAGCCAAGGTCTCACACTCACTACATAGCTGTGATGGCTAGTTTTTTTGTCAACTTGACACAAGCAAAGGTCATTTTGGAAGAAGGAATCCTAATAAAGGGAAGGTCTCGATAGGATTGGCCTGTGGGCCAGACTGTGGGGCACTTTCTTGGTTAAGGACTAATGTGGGAAGCCCAGCTCACTGAAGGTAGTGCTATCCCTGAGTTGGTGGTCTTGGATGCTGTAAGACACCAGACTGAGCAAACACTGGAGAGCAACCCAGTAGGCAATGCTCCTCCATGGCCTCCTCTTCCGTTCTGGCCTCCAGGTTCCTGCCCTGACTTCCCTCGGTGATGAATTGCTGCCTGGAAGTGTAAGATAAAATAAACCCTTACCTCCCCAGGTTGCTTTTGGTCACGGTGTTTTATCATAACAACAGTAACCCTCACTAAGACAGTAGCCAAGGCTGGCTTTGAGCTCCCCATCCTCCTGCCTCCACCTTCCAAGCACTGGGGTTACAGGCATGCACCCCCATAAGGAGTGTTTGTGGTGCTGAGGAGTGAATTCAGGGCTTCATGCATACTCAAAGACATGCTACTAACATATCCAGGCCTCCGCACATCTTCAACAAGCCCTGATACCCCAGATAAAGGGCATTCTCTCCAGACACTGCACTGAGCTTGAGGTGCACCATGTAATAGAAACCCTTGACTCACAGGAGGAGGAAGGTCCCCCCGAACAGTATCACTCTCTCTGCCTTTAGGAAGAGCCTCCCTTTCCAGGGTGTCTGGAGATGTGAGGGAGTATGGAGACCCCTAAATTGACTCGCTTAACAGCCCATTACTCATCCAGGTCATCCCAGTGGTTGTCTTAATTTACAATAGGCCGTGTCACTTGTCTGTTCCAAACTTTGCCGTGGTTCCTTGGGGTGGGTAGGGGATCAAACTGCCCTCAAGGCGTTCTAAGGGCTCATTATTGCCCCTTCTGTCTCCTTCTACCTTTGTGACCTCTTTTGGGCTTTGTAATATGTCTGCTGCAGGACAAAATAGCCTTAAACTCGCCAGATTTCCTGTGTCTTTGTGCCTTGGAACCTTGGGGGCATGTTGTTCTCTGTACCATCTATCTATCTATCTATCTATCTATCTATCTGTCTATCTATCTCTGCCTAGACTCTCCCATTTATTACCCTTCGCTTCTCAGCTCTGTGTCCCCCCCAAGCACACAAGCCTTCTCACAACCTCCTCGCCTATCCTACACAGTAGGAAAACTCTAACCACTGTACCACACCTGCACAAATAAGCCACTCCTGTATTGTTTCCAAGTTCCACCTGTGGTAGGTAGTGTGACTGGCAAGTCACATAACCTTTCTGAGCTTTAGTATCCTTCTCTGTAAGGGATACAAGCCACTGTCTGACAAAATAAAGGAGATAATTCATGGGACACCGTACACATCATAACACACAGTGAATGAGTGGGGCATTGTACCTGCATCTGGGTCCCCGTTCTGCTGGTCCAGGCCTGTCTCTAAAAGTCTGACTGTCTAGCTCAGGTGGATAATGGCTGAGCATCTCCTACCACAGGCTCTTGAGGTTCTGTAGAACTCTGTTCTGTCCATTGGCCTAAGGGGCTCTGTGATCCAACCCAGGACCTCAGTTTACATAGATGGGATGTGGCCAGGACCCTTGCTAGCACAAGGCATACAGGGCAGCAATGCTGTGGCTGAGGACGACAAAGTCTGTAGACCTAGAGAAAGAAGTCATTTCCCCATGGAGTCAGAAGAGCCTGCTTCACACAGTGGGAGCTTGGCAGAGGGGGAAAGGGATGTTCCCATGGATGCCTGGACGGGTACAGGGTTCCTAGAGAAACGAGAACACTCATGAGCAACAGCTCTGAGTGCCTGGGCTGCTTTGCTCTTATTCTGGGTGAGAGGTAGAGACAGGGAGATAGTGGCATCACGACCCTGAGCGGCCAGGCTGCAAAGGGTGGCCAGTATCCCATGGGCCCAGGAAGCCAATTGGGAGGGGAGAATTGTGTAAAAGAGGTCACTCAGTTTGCGAAAGAAAACCAAGGTGTATGAAGGATGTCATGGAGGGGTCGATGAGGCACATGAAGTATGCCGAGAGTAGAGGCTATGTGGGAGAACAGGCTTGGGTGGGGTAGGGTGGAGGAAAGGGAAGGGCCTGGGGTAGAGGGGAGAGGAGTACAGCCCGGGAAGGAGGTGAGGGGTCTGGGGAGGAGGCGATGGGTGGAGGTGAGATACGCTGAGATTAGGGGGAAGGAGGCTGGAGAGCAAGACACTGCGAGGAAAGCCAAGGGAGTGGATGCTTGGGATTCAGAGAGCACATGACAGGTACTCTAAGCCTCCAAGCCAGGGCCATCCTGCATGGGAGGAGAAGACAACCCTGGGACACAATCTGAAGAGTGTTTTACTTTTGAACAGCAGAATTAGGCAGCCTCTTGTCCTTTTAGGAGCTGGGAGCTGACTGTTTACTTGTCTGAGTGAGACAATATTTCCTTCGTTCTCAGCATAAAACCCTCACACCTCTTCTACCTGGTTTCTTGAAGATGACCAGGTATGACGAATGTCCTGATGTGCCCAGGACTGTCCACCTTTCACCATCTTGTAGATTAGGACAGTTAGTCACCAGCTGTACCCAGTTACTAAGCCCCAGCAGCTCAAGACAGGACTGACTCAGCTTGTCACAAAGTATCAGGCTAATTCCCCTCAACAGGATAATCCTAAAATGAACACTGCACTGTGAAAAGGACACAGTAGTGACCTGGAACCTAATCCTGTGCATGTCTCTTCCCATGCTTTCAAACTCAAAAGCCCAGGACAAAACGAACCACTTTGTCCCCAAACACATCACCCCATAGGTACATTCAACCTCCCACATGTCCATCGTGGACGGACACCCCGTGCTGGCCATTTGCCATCCACAGGAAAAGGTTCAGCCTGTACAGAAAATACACAGATTGTCAACCTTGGGGGGGGGGGCTCTCGATCCCTCAGATCACAACATTTTTCTGATCTTACCCACACAGACACACAGACACACAGACACACACACACACACACACACACACACACACGGCAGCGGGGGGCGGGGGGATTGATACTGCCATTTGGTATTGGGGAAAATGCTTAAAATGTTCATTTAATAGCTGATACCTTGTAACAATATCAGCTGTCTCAAATCCCCGCGCAGCCTCAAGCACCCTCCTCTGTGAGTAACAGGTTGTTTTCGGCCTTAGGCCGACCATCACAGCTGCCTTCAAATTCTCTACTATAAACAGTTTACACGAAAATCATTATAGTGTTTAAATGCAACACAAAGAAGTCATTTAGTAAAACTGAGCAGCGTGAACGGACCCTAGAGGGATGCCCTCTGCCCCTGCCCAATCTTCCCGTGTACACTCCACATATGGGTCCCCGCCCACTTGCTAGAGTCCAGGCAGAGGACACCCATGGTACCTTTTGGAGAAAAGCCATCCTCGGCCTGTACTGCTGGCCTTGGTGTCGGATCGTCATTCTGGACCCTGGATGAATTCACGACCACAGCACGAATGGGAGCGAAAAGGGGAAACCCCAAGTTCACAAGCCAGCCTGGTCTGCCCCAGCCTGGGCGTGAACCGGGAGGCGCAGAGAGAGGAGCGCGCAGGGCCCAGAATGTCGCCCGCCGCCCCTCGACTCTCCCTCGCACCCGCCGACATGCAAAGCAGCTGGAATTCGCGCCAACCAATCAGCGAGCTGCGCCACGCGCTCATTAGCATGCAGTGCGCGGGCTCCCACTTGCCACCAGAGGGCGGCGTCCCGCTCCACCTGGACCAAGCATCAGGTAGAAAGGACCCATCAGGGATGCTGAAACCTGTCCCATGGTGTGTGTGCCTCGCTAACCTAGGAGGAGTTTGTACAAGCACTCACTGTCAAAGCTCAGCGGAAACGGGGCTTTCCCGTGCCAGCTTGCAGAAGACTTGGGCATCTTTGGGTAAGTTAGTGTTAACAATTCTTTGAGGGAGAAATAAACATTTTGAACAGGTTCATGATACCCAATAGGAGTGTCCATCAAGCTTTTAATAGCTAAATGAGTAATGCTGTGATCGTTCTTAAACATTTAAGAAAAAATATCAGATGTGGACTTTTATTTATTGACCCAATAAATAGACTAATTGGTCAGATATTGATTACAAGAGGGGAACAAGTAGCCAGGCCGTGGTGGCACATGCACTCGGGAGGCAGAGGCAGGCCAAACTCTTCAGTTCGAAGCCAGCCAGCCTGGTCTATAGAGCTAGTTCCAGGACAGCCAGGGCTACACAGAGAAACCCTGTCTCAAAAAAAAAAAAAAAAAAAAAAAAAAAAAAAAAAGAAAGAAAGAAAAAAAAAGGAAGGAAGGAAGGAAGAAAAACTGCACACACTCTTTAGCTGTATATCCTTGGGAAAATTATATTTTACTTCTCATTCCTGCTGCTTGCATTTGTTTGTCCTTAATAGACTCTTAAGAGTACTTTTAAATTAACCTAAAAACTGAGGCGATGAAGCAGAGTAGAGACCTCCAGAATATCCACTCACTCCACACATTCATAGCCTCCCCCACGGTCAGCCTGTCTGGGGAGACTGTCACCAGTTGATGGGATTATATTGACACATCTAGGGGAAAAAATGAAAGGATGAAGCCCCTAATTAGTCATAAAGACCTATTCAGCTTTGTCATATCAAGTCCTTTCTCCTGTCTACACAAGCAGGATGGACACCCAGTGTAGCATGCAACATGTTTAACTCGGAAGAGAACAAAGCGATTTGTCCTAGTGGGGCTTCTGCCAACTGCCTTTAACACAGAAGTCCTTATCCTTTTTTTTTTTTTTTTCCTTTCAGGCCATATTGATTTGTAAGAATCTGTTGACACAGCTATGGACACTCTCAGGAAACATGCCCACATACACATAACGCTGACTCAAGTTTGCAGACAATGTCAAGGGGCCCATGCTTGGTTACCTTTGGAGCCCTTTCATAAGCTCCTGTATCACAACCTTCAATAGAGAGGAACTGAGCTCTCTAGGGGTTGGTTGGTGCCGAGGACCAGAGTTCCCACTAATAAAACCAGACCTCCAAGAAGTGTGTCACTTATGTGAGCTGGGATACCAGGAAAGAGCTGGAACATCTTGAGTTTCCTTCATGGAAACATCTTGTGGTGTAAGAGTTACCTAGAACACTAATGAGCAAACGAAGCCCAAGGTTCCTTCCAGCACTGGCATTCCTTAATTCTGTAATTTCCATGTAGAGGAAATAGAAGTGACTTCCTGGCATGACAGATTGGGAACTTAAACTATTCAGGAATGAAGAAGAGCAAAAATGCAAAGAATTATGGTCAGTTCTAGAATAGGAGAGGTCTTAGAAAGCCTGCTACTGCCCCTGCCATTGATTCATCTATTAGGGTTCCCTCTCTGGCAATCACATTTTAGAGCACCTTCCTTAGCTCACTGAACCAGAGATGCTTGGAAGGTGTGCCAGAGGCCACGCCCCAGCTTGTGATGGGCTCCCCTGCAAAGCTTAAGTTAGATTAGTACCCTGGAAAATGTCAACTAGAGCCAGATAAAATGGAAGCAAGAAGAATCTGGGGTGAACTACAAGCTGGATTTAGAACGAGGTGGCAATAAAAGATGAGCAGAGGAAGCCGACAAGCACAGGGAAGCCAATCAAGTGTACAGGCAGAGGGTAACAGAGGGGCTGTGAGGCAAGTGAGAAGTCCCTTGGGACAAAGTTGGGACAGAGCCTTCCCAGGGGCAAGAGTGTCTTTGTGAATCTCCCACAGAGCTGCGTCTGTCTCTGTTCCCTGCAATCAGAATGCTCCAATGTGTAATTTGATAGTAAAGATTTAGATAATGTCCTGGAAAAGAAATTGACGCCATTAATCTATTCAAACAGCAATTATATCGTATGCCAGGCATTGCACCGAAAAGTCTGACATTTGAAACAGACTACGATCCCATTTCTGTCTCGAGCTGCTTACAGTTTCATGGAGGACAAGAATAATTGCATAAAGCCAGTTCAAAATACAATATAGACATGATGACAGAATACAGGCCTCTGGAAAGACCTTTCATCTGGTCTGCGTGGAGGACAGTTGTGATCAGGGAGGCAGTCCAGAGACGGGGTCCTAAAGGAAAAAGGGGCGCTCAATCCTGAGGGAGGCAAATGAAGATACCAGAGGAAAACAAGAAAGGATACAGGAGCAGGAAGCCAGCAGGATTGGAAGGTGGCAACAGGGAGTTCAGTGAACACCAGGTCATAGTCAGTGCTGATGCAGTGGGGAGGCCCTTGGGTCTGTGGCGGAATGGGAGGGGAGGAAGGAAGGGTACTGAAGCACAGTACCGTGGGTAATGTACTTGTCATGCAGACATGAAACCCTGGGTTCAATCCCCAGAACATGCTTTCTCCTCCTCCCCCTTCTTTAAGAAAAGGGGAATGTTAAAGTACTTGGAACTCTGGCATTGGAAGGAGACAGGCATACGCCTGCAGATTCCTGACCAGCCAGCCTAGCCTATTCGATGAGCTTCAAGTCAATGAGAGACATCATCTTTTTTTTTTTTTTTAACATATAACTGTTGGCCTGTTACTAGTTTCTTATCAGCTAGATCTGCCTTAAATATTAACCCATTTCTATTAATCTTAGTATTTCCACGTGGTCTTATCTTACCGGAGAGAGGGCCCAGAATTCTTCTATCTTGATCCTACATTTTGAATCTCTTCCCTACTTCTTCCTCTCTCCTCCTAGGAGAGACATCATCTTAAAAGACAGTGTGGAAGGCTCCTGAGGAAAGACACACAAGGTTGTTCTCAGGCCTCCATACCTACACACATGAATGTGCAAATCCACCCTCCCCACACAAAGATCTGTACACACACACACACACACACACACACACACACACACACACATGCATATATTTATACACACAACAAATCTTTTTAAAGGTGACCACCTTAATAGAAGTGATGTTTACACTAGTAAACTCATCTATTAACTCAAAAATGATTATGCTGCAAAATCAGAGTACATCATAGTATATAAACAATACCTCCACAAAGAAATTGACCCCCTGGGGACCGGAGAGATGTCTCAGGGGTTAAGAGCATTGGCTGCTCTTCCATAGGACCAGGGTTCAATTCCCAGCACCAACATTGCAGCTCACCACTGTCTGTAACTCCAGTTCCAGTGGACCCAACACCCATGGCAATAACACCAATGCATGTAAAAAAAAATAAAGGTAAATGAAATGTAAGAGAGAGAGAGATGACTGGGCAGTTGTGGTGCATGCCTTTAATCCCAGAACTTGGGAAGCAGAGGCAGGTGAAAAAAATGAGAGAGAGAGAGAGAGAGAGAGAGAGTTTGACCCTCAAATCCATTGGTATCTTGCAACAAGTCAGAGGTGCACAGTGCTAATAGTGACATGGTTACAATGATTCTGTCATCGTCTTCATCACTATTATCCTGTGTCCTCGTCATCATTAGATGAATGTGATTCAGAGCCTAAACTTAGGTCACAGTCTTAAATGTTACCCAGTATATTCTTTAGTACCAAGAACCTTGTCTCTGAAGAATTAAAGCAGCCTTAAGTAAGATGGTGTGTCAGCCACACAAGCTGCAGTGTCCTTCAACACCTAGGTCTAAAGTCCTCTCAACAGAATGTCTGCAGAGTTCAGTGCACCATACCAAAGACCAAGGGTACAGAGCTTGAAGATTGTCTCTCATCCTGTGTTTCTTCTACGGAAGGTGAACTTCACACACACAGCTCATTTCTTTGGGGTGGATATATCTGACTGCTTTGAAGCAGGAAAATCCATGGAGTAATTTCTTAGAAATGGTCCAGTGTTGAAGGAGTCACTAGAAAATGTGGGAAAGCCCAGAGAGAAACAAGTGTGAGAAGACATTCCCATTACCACAGGCCAAAGGAAGGAGAGATGGCACCCTGAGTAAGAGACGGTCTTCCCAGAGAGACTGGAGACAAACTCTGGATTTCTGGGAGCAAACTCTGGGTTTCTCTCTTCCCACTCCCTGTCTCCCATTGTGGCTGGCCACTGCCTCAGACTGTAATGAAGAGGGCAGCTCAGCCGAGGTGAGGCAAATTTTGGGGGTCAGCCTGGTAGGGAAGCCTGAATGACTGGGTATGGAAGGGACACGGGAGAGTCAAACTGTGAGGTTGCAGCAGAGAAGACAAGTGTCTGTGATGGTATAAACGCCCAGAGTTGGCTTAGAGTACATCCAGTGCCTTCGAGCTGGATTAATTAATCAGCTCTGCACTGGTACCACCCACTCCTGACATCTCCCTGCCTTGGACATAAATGGAGCTGGCTTCACCTGACTGCCTGGGCCACTGCCCACACTTCTATTTGCATTCACATGAGTCTGTCTTGTTAGAAGTTGTCGTGAGTGTATATTACACTTGCAAGTACAAAACTAAAACACAAAATTGAGGGAATCCCTTTAGATGCTGAGTATTTCTCCCCACTTCCATTAGACAAACACCGCCTCCTGAAGACCTACTAAGACCTAATTTTCCACAAAGCAACCATGTGGGGCCAGCCAGGCACCTCGCTGATCACAGTTCCACAAAATGAAGCGGAGGCTGCACACACTCTTCTACAAAGAAAAGAAATTTAGATGCCCAGAAATCATCCATACCTGGCACCCTGCATGTTGGCTTGGCGGTGGAGAAAGAGGAATTGGAA